CTTTAAAAAGGAAATCTAAAAGAATGATGCATTCACACTTACAACATTGTCCTTGAGAGATACATAAGGAGTAAGGACTCCTATAACCACATTTCCCTGCCCTTGTCTCCATACACAACGCACAATCGCCACTCTGTTCATATCTTTCATCGCCCTTGCCAAAGCAGAGACTGCAAGAATGGCTTTAGAATTCCCCGGTTCAGCTATGAACACATTTGCATCTTTCATATAGTAGTGCCTTTTTGGGTAGTAGAAGATGGAACATGAAAGAAAAAATCAATAATTGAAAGGACATAAGTCTAATTAAATGTCAGCCCAAATTATACACCATGCAAATGCAATTCAATGCAGCTTGAAACCATTAGGCTCATTGTCAGTGACTTCCCTCAAGATACAATAGCATTCCCCATGTTTGATAAATGTATGCAATCACACCCATGGAAAGTCTATCATTGACCTCCTTTATAAAAGTAAATGCCTAATTTATTTATTTTAATAGTATGGGGATCTTTGTGATAGTACGTTAAACCTTGAGGGAGATAACCGATAGTAACCCCATATTACCGCATTATATTTGAAGAGTCTGTAAATCCAAGAAGCTTCACGCCTTTCTCTGGTTTGAACTTCACAGCCTCCCATTCAGCAGAAGATATGGGAACTACTTGAGGTCCATATCGGTAACCTTTGATCCTATGTTCTGGCGGAACAACTTTGCTTTGGTCTTGAGTGTGTTTATATTCATAATCAATCTTAACTTCATGCTTAGCAAACTTGTCAGTGTGATGTGCTTTATCAGAATACATTTTTAGTGTGGGAAATCTCTCTTCCACTGTTTTCTTATACACCCATACCTATCAGACAGCAAAGGAAAAAACAATATAAGGTTCCGTGCGGTAACTAAAAGTGCCTTATTCTGCTTCTGCTCACCAGAGAAATACAGAATCATAAGATTCAGTAGTTCTTTACTTATTTGAATGAAATGGAAGTTACCAAACACTTCTCCAGTTAGAAAATTGGGCAGATTCAACCATTCCAGCCAAATGACCCTTACCAAACGGACTGTGAGTAACAGAGTGGTACTTTGACGATAAACAACAGAACATGAAAAATGGAAAGATAAATAAAATAAAATCAGAAGTGGCTCAAAACTTGTACCCACATCTTAATCTCACCTTGATCTTCAATTGGGAACTGATTTCAAAATCGCCTCTATATGTTGTGACAGGAGAAATATTACGAGTTCTTACTGCGCCCAACAATGAAGTTGCACTTTCAACATAAACTGTTTTTGAGGAAGACTTCTTTGAAAATACAGATAAAAGAAAATCATTTTCTTCCATTATCTTTTTTGCATCGAGATCTTTTGTCATTCTAACAATGACAGAGTCCATCTTCATGCCATAAGCTTTCATTTGAGATGCAACTGTGCTGACTTGATCTTCCTTTGTTCCTTCATATGGATCTTTAATTGGGCATATTGCATTTGTGATGAGGCAGAGACGCTTCTTTCCTTTGTTGGTTTCTGCATATTTCTTGATCACCATGTCCATCCCAACAATAACGGCATCAAGAACTCATAAAAAATGTTAAGGTTTTCAAAACCAAGAAGTAACCATTCAATGAATGGAAAACCACATTAGATGCATCATAATATTTGTTCAGCTAAATTATAAAGTCTACAGCTCATATAAAGTTATAAACAACTTCAATCTTCTCATACACAGGTTGTTTTAGAAGAGAAAACCTTACGGCCGGTTTGGAGCGCAAAAAATGTTAGGGAGTGACAAAAGGAAGGACATTTGGAAGGAATAGAAATGTGAGGGGAAATTAAATATCAGATCACTAATACATAAATATATCACAAAAAATCTCTAATGCATCAACATTAGATATTAGTTCAAACTCATTTCATTTAAATATTTCTATTACATAAGACTAGTAAATTTAAATATATACTAGAAATCTAAAATATTTAAAAGTTCTAACCAAAACAGATTACCCTCTGTAATTTAAGAAAATCATTTCACTAGTTTTTTCTTCCATCAATGACATGTTTCCAAGCTCCAAACATAGCTTTAAACACTACAGCTAACTTAAATACATATTAAGCATGCACAGGATACAATCACCTCTAAAGCTTCCTCGAGGAAGATGCTCAACAGCTCCAACAAGATCATCATCAACGACTTTGATACTCCTCAAAACAGTCACATGCTCATATCCTCCCACTTCTTTTGTCAACTCATTTGCAGTCTCTAAGACAATGGCAGAAAATATTCTAATACCAAGATAACAATAGCATTCAATGATGGAAACAAAGTACAAAAGGATAATAAGATATAATAAAAACAATAATATGAATAATACTATTTATATAAATATAAATTCTAGTAGCTGTAGATACCTGTAGTGCCAAATAAAATAACTCCCACTTCATCATACTTGCTATAGACCATCTATATACAACAAGATTAGCCGAACAGCTTTACAAGAGGGAGTACTAAAAAGGTAAAATAGGAACCTTGATAAGAAATAAGAAGCAAGTACCTTCTTTTGCACTAACAATGCGCAAACCTTCTCAATTTCGGGAAGAACAGAATGCATAGAAGGACCCACATCGATGACCAATACCAAACCCTCCTATTCGAGTTCAGAAAATTCACAGGTCAAGTTCCATACGGAGAATAATAGACTTGATTGTGAAGAGAGGTACTGAGCAAAAAGAAGAGAAATGAGAAAAACAGAGATGAATGAACATAAGAGAGAAACTTGCCTTATTTCGGGCCATTTCAAGAAATTTTTAACTTCCTTGAGTTGACAGAAGTGATTTTTAGTGATGTGCAGTTCTTGTTCTCTCCAGGAGCCTAGTTTGCCAGACCACTAAGCGACGATACAATACTCTACGGGGATTTTTTGGCTTTGCGTTTTTCTGGGATAAATGGAAAGGATGGTTAACAGGCATTGACACCATTTGGCATTAGAATTGAGTTAAGTCAATTGAGTATATGACATGGACTAAAGAGTACATTATATTGCATTTGATTTTTTTAAGTACACAAAATCAGGATTTTGGTGTTAATTGAGTACATCCGTTAGATTAACACGTTAATACGGCTTAGTTGGTTAACAGAACGCTAATAGGACGACTTCTTGAAAGTCGAACCAGCCCCAACCACTTCTCCTTGATCGACGTTAGTCCCCAGCAGGTCGACTTCTCCTTGGTCGATACACCCCTGCTGGCCGACGCCCCCCGCAGGTCGACCTCCGAATGTCGATTTTCCCTTTTTGGTCGACTTCGGGAAGGTTGGCGCCATAACCTTGGTCTATTGCCCCTTCTTACTTAACATTCTGTTAGCCAATTTAGTTGTATTAACCTGTTAATCTAACAGGTCACGAGTGTACTCAATTAACATTAAAAATCTGAATTTGTGTAATTAAAAAGATAAAATGCAATATAATGTACTTTTTACTCCATCTCATACAAGTTGATGTACTCAATTAATTCTTTCCTCAATTAGAATTGGTTAATTTGAAATTTTGACTTTTGGTCGAGATAAAATTGAATTTTGCATATCATTTACAAAAACATAAAATTGATACTCGTGTATGCACTCTACATTATTATGAAAATTAATCTTCTACCTCATTTCTTTATAATTTTTTACTACATTAATTTTTCTAAAAGCTAAATCAGATATTGCACTAAATGTTGCTCCATAAATCCAAATGCAGTGTACTTTTCCATTACAAATAATTATAATCCCGTTTTTATGGCATTTTCCAAACCATTAGGGATGTGGGAATGAAATGAATGAAAAAGTGATTTTGGAGAGAAAAAAAGATTTCACAAACATATTTTTAACATAAGATGTTTGAGAGTCTAAAAATTAATCTTCTACCTAGTTTTTTCATGATTTTTACTTAATGGGTCCTCACATTAATTTTTCTTAAAGACTAATTCTGATATCTCCCTAAATATGACTTTGTAAATTGCTAAATTCAAATGCACGTACCCATCCATTAGACATTGATTATCATTTCATTTTCATCCCATTCTCCAAACTTTGTCTAATTGGCAACATTGTAATTTTCAAAAAGAAAAACTAAATTGATGGGGGAATGAGATGAACGGGAAATAACCTTACCTTGAAGAAATGATGATTTCAGAGCAAAAAGTTTTAACAAACATATCATCAACATATTATATTTTAGCTTATACACACCAATTTGGGATATAAGCCATCCTCTAATTTGTGTGTAAGCTTGTATGATGGTAATTTAAGTGGGATGATGATAATTTTTTCGCTTGTATAGTTATATTCGGGCGAGTCTCTTGTCATTAGTACTCTAAACTTCTTAAGTATTGCACTTGGTTCATTTTTCATTGAGATGTCATTTCCATTTATTCAAAACTATTTTCACCTAATATTTGGTATGTTTCACTAAGTACGGATTCTTCATATATGTCACTGGTGCCTGGTGGAGTCTTGAAAGTTATACAGAGAGAGTATAACTTTTCGATATTATTAAGTTTATTGTAAGTGAAACTAAATTTTATAGAATATACCTTAATTTGTGATGTGGTGATACCTAATTTTAGTATGAAGAGAACCATTTGATGAACTAAAACATGGAAAAAGTGATGTATGATTTTCTAAAAAATATTGAGTTTGATTTAATAATCAATATATTTTCTTATAATTTAATTAGATATTCCACACTTCCACCCATCTTTTTGAAATAAGATATTCCCCCCATCTTGAAAAATAATCTCTTTCACGTTTTCTTCCTATCTCAAATCAAGCAAGATTATTTTAAGAATAAAATTGTTGAACACCAAGGAGGGAAAAGAATAATAATAAAATAATGGAAATGGACGGGATAAAGAAAATCTCAGACACCATACCTACGGCAAAAAAGACCCACCCGTTTCCTCGGCCTCCTCGAACGTCAACTGCTCCGACCGACAAGCCGCGGAGAAAGGGGACGAGTCAAAGAAGCTGAGAAGAGAAGGAAGGGGCCATGGTGGATCTCTTTTCATGGCTTCTTTCCTTCTTCCTTCTTGTCGCCATTCTTGGTCTTCTCCTTTACCAGGTTAACGAAATCCCTTTCCTTTTTAGATTTCCTTAACCTTTTTAGTTTTTCTTGATCAGTTAGTCAATCAAGAAACATGGAATTTATCATCCTATTGTAGAAATTATCTGTTTAATCTCGGAATTACTCATTACTCATCTGATTGCTGGCGAGGCAACCCATATTTTGAGCTTAAAAGAACTGTTTTTTTTTATTGAATGCTGCTAAAAGGACCGAGAGAGAACATTTGATTAGCAATATAATAATTGCAGGATTAATTCCTTCTCAAAGATATAGAATTTTGATGCGAAAAACTGATTTTTGCCATACAAAGTAGCAATAGCTATCAAATCTGGGCTTTATTCTTTATTAAGGCGTCTGGTCAGATTGGTAGAGGCAGTACCCAGTACCCACGACTAGGTTGATTTGTAACTTCATACTTGGCTTACTTGGGATATCTTGCATTCTTTGCAATGAATTTATAGCTTATACTAAATTAATTGACACTGGACATTTCATTGCCACCGAGTGGGATCTGAGATTAAGGCGTTGATGATGATGATGATGATGATTCTCAGGAGCATCGTTTTGTGTTTATTTTTTTGTGTGTGAATAAAATAACACCTGGAATAAAATTTGCAGCTAATGTGCTTGGCGGACTTGGAGTGTGATTATATCAATCCATATGATTCAGCATCCCGGATAAATAAAGTGGTAGTGCCAAGTTACATAATTGAAGGGGTGCTATGCATTCTGCATCTTATAACAGGCCATTGGTTTATGTTTCTGCTGTGTCTCCCATATTTGTACTACAACTTTAGAGTGTAAGTTTATCCCCTTTTCCTAAAATTGGTAATTACTCTGTAGTATTTTTAGTTCTTTACTCAAGTTGTTGACGGTATGCCTCAGCCATCATCACCTAACTGTGTTTCAACCTAGGTATTACTCCGTATCTTTATAGGAATTTCAAAGAGAGACCTTTGTGTGTGTTCTTACTGGAGAGCATGCCCCATCTTCTGTCATTAACTAATATGATAGTATATATAGGGCCAGTTTGGTCAGAGTAGTTATTTTTTTCTGACTAACGGTTGCATATGCTGGATTTTCTTAGGCAAAGTTATAATTGGCTACCAAATGGAGCCTTTAATCAGTTAATGTAGATTATGGACTGCCTCTTTTTAGATTTTCTCGGATCAGCCAAATACTTGGTACTTCACAAAATGGGAGTTAATTCCACCTTTGGTCTCAAGACTATTATGGGGGAATCAGTTGTTCAGAAGTTGGTCTCCCTCAACTTCTGAAAACCTGCTCTGGAGCAATTTTGAGCACTTAGGAGCACTTCTGCAATTTTACACAAACACTCTCATTTCTGCTTCTGCTCCCTAAAGGAGCAAAAGGAGTTTTAACTTTTAAGAAGCAGATCCAAACAGCCCCAAGTAATTTGTAGTTTTGGCCCCCAGCTTTTTTTTCTCACGTTTACTCCAACGAGTATTTTTTTTTGTCACTTATGGTCCTTCCAATCACTTGCCTAATTGCCTGGTTTATTCACGTACAATTTTCGGTTGAATTATGCTGGAAAAGTGGCAGGAATAACGTCTATAGCTGTGGGACTAAACGTGGACAAATGAAATTAGGGACCAAGAATAGGAATGAATCCATAGTAGTGGGACCAAAGCACACAGCATTTATAACACAGTGCAGAAGTTACTTTTTTAGTGTACTCAATGTAATTTCACTTCAAACTTCATTTATTGAAAGAAATGCAATTTTCTTTAATTTTTTATTAACATCTAAATTAACATGTTTGGGCAATTTTGTCATAATTCTAACAAGTTCAGCCATTTTAGGTCTTACCATATGTGAAAGCACTTAAACTCTTCTTGAATAAAAATATATCAAGTAATAAAAGTTCTTTTTTAATACATATATACTCCTTATATAGTATAGCAGCAGATGTTCATATAACATCAGAGTTTGATGGTTTTTTATTAACTGCGTCTTCTTATTTGGCTTGCTGACTATCGCCATTTATGATGCTTTACCAGCTATAGTCAAGCCCAACACTTGTTAGATGTGACAGAGATTTTTACTCAGCTCCCGTGGGCAAAGAAGATACGCTTATACAAACTCGGATACCTAGTCATTCTCCTTGCTGTCTCCATGTTTTGGTATGCTATCCGGGGGGTGACATGCCCTTTGCTTTTTAACTCTCATAGGGCGATCCAAAGCTCATCTATTTGATACTTTGATGCATACAATTAATGCCTTCTTTTGTGATCTATATTTTCTAGGATGGTATGGACCATAGTTGATGATTGAAGGTGCCCTCTGGCATTCGTTTTCAGTGTTTGATCATTATCGGCTGGGTGTGCGGAAGGAAAATATGCTTTGTCCTCTGAAACTAGTTTTTTTTATTGTAATTTCCAATCTTGTATTACTAGTTAGCATACAAAGGTTAGCTCTAAATAGCGTAAACTAATTGTTCTACTTGTATCCCCCAACACATTGTATTGTAGTATTTTACTAATATAATTTTTAGAGCACAGGTTTGAGACGGTTGAGATAGAGTGTGATCTAATGGTTTAGAGCACCTTTGTTAATTATAGGGTGCAAATGAGCGGAGCCGAACTAAAACTTGGTCATGTTTGAACTTGATAGGAATACACTTACTTGAGTTCGAACGAGCCTAATAATTGTCGCTCAAAGCTCAAACCAAGCTCGAGTTCAGCTCGTGCTCGGCTCAAATTTTGCTAATTAATTTTCTTAGGTTTGAGCATGAACAAAATGCTCGAACTTGAGCCAGAAAAATAAAATTTGTATACTCAAAATTATTAATATTATATTCCCCCATAAAACCACCGGACTTGGTGGGTTAAGAGAAGAGAAACTCTTACAAAGTTTATTTGTACAAAGTACAAACGCAATTGAAAGGAGAATTAAAGAAGTAAAGGCTAATGAAGGTAAACAGAAGAAAAAACCCAGCTTCTCCAAACCATGGCAACCCAAAGAGCCCAGTTTCATAATTTAGATTCACGAAATTTCTTAATGAATTCCCACAATAAGAAATGAAATCAGAATCAATCTAGTGCTCAAACAAATCTTTTGGCTTTAATACCAGGCTCCTTCCTTGGTTCAACCCAGTACATCATTAATCATTAATACCTTCCTCTACTATATTAGCAAAAAATTCCTACAAGAGAAGGAATTCACGGGGGAAGAAGAGAGTGTTTTGCCTTAGAAAAACACATATTTTACCAAACACTAGCAACTTTTACTTTTCTTGGCTTTCGTGTGAAAAGTGTTTTTACTTTTTCTATGACACAAAAAACACTTATTTTACCAAACACTGTCAACTTTTACTTTTTAAAATCACTTTTTTCTCAAACACTATCAACTTTTACGACTATCATTTTTTCCAAAACCACTCCAAAAGTGCTTTTTTAAAGCAGAAGAAGCTGCAAACACTCCTGAAGAACATGTAGAATCTCTTTTTATTCAGAAACCTTGTAAACCTCAACCATAGTCATCTCCTTCCAAAGTTTAGGAAAATCCCGATGTTAGTCCCATTTATCAGTTAGTTTCTCAATCTCCCTATCAATCTGTAGTAAATGAAATTGTATTTGATTGAAATGGTCATCCATAACTGAAATTGTCGAGACCCTTCTCATATTGATCTGAACGTTCCCAAGATGTAAAATGGACAATTCCGATTAGAACAGATATGGACAAATATGCATTATTCGGATTTGTGCTATTCATTTGTAGTTCATCTATGCTGCTTTCCCTTCCGGATTCAAATTGACAGGTCACCATCACATTAGGATTTTCCCTTCCACTTTCTTTCAAAACCCTTATAGCATGAAAGATTTTTTACTCGAAAAAACAAGAAACCGACCTCTTCCGACCTTCAATGCACAATGAGGCAACAAAGTTCACAAGTTCCAAAATCCGAACATATCCTCCTCCAGAATTATGTTCATACAACAATTTAGTTGATCTAGAATTCTCAAATCTAGTCGATAGAGTATATGGTCCTGGACCCCACGACCCACACATTCATGAAAGACAAACAAGACTAGGGCTGACATTTTAAACCGCTAAACCGAAAACCGAACCGGAAAAACCGAACCGAACAATAAAAAACCGAACTGAAACCAAACCGACTAGAACGAGGCCGAAAGTAAGGAACCGAAAATTAATCGGTTTAAAGACGGTTTTTTGAGATTTAAGATCGAACCGAACCAACTTTTTTTTTTTTGGAAGAAATCAACTTAATTAGCATTTATCAGATCAAAAGACAAAACATCACAACTCGGGGGATTCTCTAACCAAATACGACAACTAGACACAGAACTAGCTACTCTAGCCAACTCATTAGCAACTTTGTTCGCTGATCGTCTAATAAAATTGAAGGTGATATTTGTGAACCCTCTACTAATATCTCGAATGTCTTCCGCCAGAATGCCCACCGAGGAAATGCTAGAACCGGTGTTAATCTCTGAAATAGCTTGAAGAGCATCCGACTCGACTTCAACGCAATCCCATCCCTGGTTTCTCACCCAACTAAAGGCCTCACAAATACTTAGAAGCTCAGGGCCTGTTTACTAACAGAAATATTTTTCTGTTTTCGTTCTCTGTTTTCAGGTCTTCAGTTTTCTGTTTTCGTTTTTCAGTTTTTTGTTTTCCAAACCAGAAAACATGTTTACCAGATTTTTTCAATTTTTCATTTCCTTTTTTTTCCAGAAAACATTGATTTAATATTTGGAAAAGAAATGCACATTACAAATAACACAAAAAATTAACATAAATGTTCCCCAACACTGAAAATTCAATAAGTGACATTACAATGTTCTAACATTCTAAAAGTGCACGTCACTAAAACCTTTGGGACATGCATTAATTTCTCATCTCATTAACTAAATAGAGTGACAAACATATTTGAATGAAAGAATAAATTAGGCCTCCTGTGACTATATAGCTTTCCACAATGTCCAGGGATGAGGGATCTCGAGTCTAGTATTCCACCATGTCCAGGGATAAGGCGTCTCGAGACTTTCGCACCAGCATCACGTTTGATCATTGACTCCGTAAGGTCACCAAAAAATGATCCAAAAAAGTTCACAACCCCAAAAGCCAATGCACTCAGCATAGATGTAGGCCAGCATAGTAACTTTGAAAATAGTGCAGTAGTGGTTATGGAACCAACAAGACATGTCAGAGCTCCCTCCCAAGTCTTCTTTGGGGTAATAATTGAAAGCGGAGTCCTACCAAAAACCTTCCCGCCAAAAGGCAAATATATCCGTTGCAATGGTACTACTAAAAGAAATGAAGCCACAAGACCTACTGTCCACTAAGTTTGTACTACCAATAAGGCAGGCCAGGATTCTGCTATTTTTGTATGTAGGGCTGGCACAACTAAACTGCATCTCAACTTAACCCAGAAACAAGGAAGATAGCCACACTAGAGCAGCCTAAAAAAAGGGAAAAGGGGCAAATAAGCCCTCGAACTAATAAAAAAAGTGCAAATAGGCCCTTTTGTAGGAGGTTCCGTCCGGTCATCGTCATTTGGGGAGGTTCACGGTAGAATTTTTTGATGAATTTTTTTGAGCATCTTATTCATTAAGTCTAGTTTAGTCCTACTGAATTTCAGCTAAAAATTCAACCGGGAAGACAGTCAAATGAATTTTTGAAGATAACTGCGCAATTAAACAACGCAGTATATTTCCAAAAATCATTTGAGTGCCTTCCCGGTTGAATTTTTAGCTGAAATTCGGTATGGCTAAACTAGACTTAATGAAGAAGATGCTCAAAAAAATTCATCAAAAAATTCCACCGAGAACCTTCCCAAATGACGATGATCAGACAAAACCTCCTACAAAAGGGCTTATTTGCACTTTTTTGATTAGTTCGAGGGCTTATTTGCCCCTTTTCCCCTAAAAAAAAAACTCTTAAAGGAATGAAAAAACAGACTTCTTATGCAATGAAAAAAGAATTCTCAAGCAATGAAAACAGACTTTTTAAGCAATGAAAAAACAGTGTAAACATAACAGACCTTATTTATCTTACACATACCTAATTTATTTAAGAGCAGATCTTATTTATATTTAAGATAATTCAACCCTTTTAGATATCTTAAACACATATCAGCAAAACCAATTTATTCAATAAATATTGTGAACAAGATTATGATCAAACAGGCTACAAATTCACAACTTTGTAGTTCTGACTTTATGTTCTACTACAAATTCACATTTTTGGGTCCAGGGATCTATAGTTGAAAATGAGAGAAATGATAGAAATAACTATGAGCCATTCAGCCACAAACTAAGTTTAGACTTATGGGAACCAAACATCAACTCAACGTTACCAACGTAAGAAGTTAAATATCATGGATAATATGAAATATAAGCTATGTTTAAATAAAGACTTTGAGTATATACATACATACATCTTATTCCCTAATTCACATACAATGAAGATGTATGCTCTGTACGTGGTTACATTCTTTTCTTAGACTTTAAAGTTGTTTTACCTATATGTGTAATGTGTTTGGTCTAATCATCTTATTACAAATTAAATAAGCTTATTACTGACTATCGAATTATATAACTATCATGGATAACAAGATTCGATGTGGACAATAAGCTAAGGTGAAGAGTATGGAGCAGAGAGTTCAACTGAATAAATTGTTTTTACTTTCCCATTTCGCTCTTCAGAAATTCATATTAACCAATATAAGCATGTTAACAACTGAGAAAAAAACAATTCATTTCTAGTCTCATCTAAAACCATTCAATGACAGCCAATAGTTTAATATATGCAGTCCATTAAAAAGTTACTCCATCCTTCCCTATCCAAACCTTCTCAAAAATTGCCGGATATTAAAAAAACAAAGCTGAATTGGCCTTGAAAAAGATGCAGAAAAATAAAGAAGCTCAATTACTCTTCTGATTCCAATCACATTCGAATTTTAAACATCATAAACTGAAAATTCCATTTTATTAGAGACCTTACCTTCAATTCGTTGATAGAACACGAGCCAACCGAAGATTTGGGAGACTCCGTGACGTTGGGGTCCAGCTCCTAGCAGCGATTCCCTAACTAGAGAAGCTGGATCGTGGTTGACATGTGAAGAAGGAAGATGGTCTTCAGCTGGATCGTGTTTGGCGAAACTTTGCAGCGCCTTTAATACCTACGGAAGTGGACAGACGTTCTTCAAATTGCAGCGGTTTGGCGGAGATGTAAAGAGGATAGGCGGAGAAGGTAGGCGGAAGAAGCTTAAGGAAGGTAGGCGGAGAAGGTAGGCGCAATTAAGGCGATAAATTAGAGAAGGAAGGGGAAGAAGGTGAGCGAGTAAAAGAGATACTGTAGCCCCGTGTTTTCTAAATTGTGAAAACGTATACAAGTCGGTTTTCCATTTCACGGGATATGTTTCGCTTTTCGTTTTTTGAAAAATGATTAGGTAAACATGTTTTTTAAAAAACAGAAAATATTTCTGTAAGTAAATAGACCCTCAGCTTCTAAGGGGAGCACCTGCCCTCGCCAGTTTTAGCACCTGCGGCGATAAAATCCCCCACCTCATCCCGGATTACCCAGCCAAAACCAACTTTTATTAAGTGATATA